GGACATGAACATGTTTTAGAATTGGAAACATCAAAGGTTGGCCAACCTGTTACGTATTTCATTTCAGGAGCTGGTAGTAAAACTCATGGAGGATGTGAGGGATTTGATTGGGGCAAGCCTGTAGGAGCGTTGGGTTTCTTACATACCATTATAAATGAAGATGAAATGTATTATGAATTTGTTGACTCTTCAACCTTTGAGCCTAAAGTGGTATATCAGGGGAAGGTTTTACCAAAATAAAGAATTATCTTGATATCCTGCTGCGGAATACCGTAATTTGTTTTAACAGTTGAATATTTTCAATCCACAAATTTAAAGTTTGAGGTCGTGATTTCTCATTTTGTTTAAAATCACGAAAAAATCACCCTGAGTAGATCAAATTCTTTACCTATTTTAAAAAAATGATTATTAGTAATTTTCTGACTGTGTTGTGCCTTGTAATAATTCCCGTAAACTATGTTCTTTTGAATGTATGGATCATCAATATATGATTATTTCTTCGGTTTTTAATATCAAGAATAAATAAAAAAGTTTTAAGAATCCAGAAAATAATTTTAAACACATTTTTTAATTATATTTTTTTTTTAAGAAATCAATCTTTTTTATATTTAATTATTTTTAAGCCGTTTATGTAATTTAATATTTTCTAATTCTAATTTTTCAATTACAGCTTGAGCTCTACGATATGCTAATTGCTTTCCGCTAATTTCATCTTTCGTTCTTCAATATCAATTTTTAAAAGTAAGTCATTTTTTTTTGCTTATTATCAGTTCATTAATAATGAATCTAGTTTTTTTTTTGACTTTTGAATTACCTTATATTAAAAAAAAATTAAAATTAATTAATAAATAAACAAAATAATATTAGTTTTTCTTTTAATACATCTTTATGATTTCTTTACAGCGACCTTTATATTAAATTATTTAAAAAAGTTAATTGGATTCATTTTAGAAATAATGTTAGAAAATTTTGAGTAAAAAAAAAACACAACAAAACGCGTTTATATAGTCGGTAAATTATTGAATTCTTTGTAATTAAATAGATTTAGACCGATAATAAATAGATTAAATTATTAAATAAATTTTTTTGAATTATAACAAAAAAAAAAAAAATTTTAAAAAAGTACTTTACAGAAACTTTGTTTCCTTACTATGCAGTAAGTGCATAGTAAGGAAACAAGGTTTCTGTAAAGTAGTAGATTAAAATTTAGATGCATAGTAAATTTTATCTATACAATACTTGTATTTCTAAACACAAGTTTGCTATATGCCCTAATAACTCATACATGTTAAGTTCAAAACATTTTTATTATCTTTTTTTTATTTACATATTCCGACAGACATCCTATGATTTCAGAAATTTATAATCCGGTCCGTCAAAGATCAGATCGCGGTTTAAGATCCCGCGGATATGAGATCATATTAAATAAGATGTAACGTTATTCATGTAGTGTATTCTTTATTTTCCGGATTTTTTTTTCATCGGGATTCTTGACCATCGGGATATTTTGTTATCTTATTTGTTTAATAAAGGCTTTACAATTAATGAATAAGATCATTCCGATCCAATATAAGAATGTAAAAAGAAAAGGAAAAACGATTATTATAAATATCGCATAATAAAAATTGCCTGATACATAATTTTAATGTCATTATTTATTATAACAAAATTAATGGATACCGAATAAAATGTAAAATTTAAATTTTTTCCCTTTCCCATTTTTTTTTTTTTTAATAAATAAAAATTTTTTGATGTTGTCAATTTGTGATCAAAAATAATCGCTACGTCACAAATCGATTAATTCTCTCCGAAATTAAAATTATTTTAACCAATCACGATTTTTTTTTTCTACATAATAGTATCGTCTTATTAATTAATTCGACTCAATATTTAAAATTAGAACAATTCATCAAAATCAATATCTTATCCCGTAAGGTGATTTTAATAGCTTAGCCCTTTAGTTTTATTAAATAAAAAATTTAGTTGAGTATAAATTACAATAAAAAATATAATTAAATACTAATAAACTAATAATCAATAAAATTACATTACCATCAAATTAAAATATTATTTTAACAAAAAAAAAAAAAATAATAATACAAATTAATTTGAATCAAATTCGTCAAATTTTATAATAATCAACTAATATATGTAACTTACTTTCTGTTAACGTTATCAATAATTGTTTATTTAAATTATAGTAAATAATAAATAATAATTAATTGAATTAAAAGCAAAAAATAACTTATGATCTATATATATGTAATTTAAATGAAAATTTAGTTGAGATTAAATTATTATAAAGAATAATTAACAACTTACGGCCTAAAAATGTAGTTAATCATTTAATAAAAATAAAATAAATTAGTTGAGTTTAAATTACATTATAAATAATAACAGTAACTTACTCCCTAGTATCATTAATCATTAACGTTAGTTATTTAAATAGTTGAAATTTATTATAAATGATATATCGATAGTAAAATTAATACATTCTATACAACAATTGTTTAAAAAAAAAATTCTTAACTTAGCAAATAGATGAATGTTTATTCTTTTAATGTAGGAGCATCAGGATCTTCCGAAACTGGCTCTAGCGCTAATGTCCAATAAAAAATTGGTTAAAATATATCGACATCGTTAACCGGTTTTAAGTCGCCAAAGCTAATACCAAAAATTAACCATACTATCATACTATAATACTATCACATTTCTTTTTTCAAACAAAAAATAATTTGTTAAAAATTTTCTTTATTCGGTTAATTTATAATATTGACAATTGACATTATGTATTAATATAAAAGGTTTAATTTTACGTTCAACTTTCTTTTTTAAAAGAAAATTAGTTGTAATTTTAAAAATGATGATGTTTCCATATCGTATTCTATATTCAATTTTTATCATCAATTTATTTGTTTCCTATAACCCAACATTATGCGAAACATACAAATATACTAGAGAATATCTTCTCAACAGTAAACTTTTTAGCCTTGAACCACCACAAACTGCCTTTTCTCTTGACATTCAACCCATTAGTTATCCTGATAAATGCAAATTAAAACAAATACATTTGGTTTCTAGACATGGTAATTACTACTTCGTATACTGTCAAGTGTGTAAACTTAATAGTATAAAGTGATTTCTGTTTTTTTTTTTAATAAAATTACTAGGATCAAGATATCCAGCGCCGGAAAGTATATTAGCTTTTGACGAATTGGAAAAAATATTTGCTAATGTTTCTGTTGCAAAAGAATGGGTAAAGAAACTAATTTAATTATGTGTAATTTAATAAAATGTTGTCATGATAAACAAGCCAATTTCTTTTATTTTTAGTATAAAAATCCTTTCCCCATGAGTAAAAATTATCTATTGACCAAACGGGGAGAAATAGAACCTTATTTTGATGGTTTACAATCTCGTAAGCGATACGCAAAATTTTGGAATGGAGTTGAATATGATCCCGAAGTTATAAAGTTTCAAAGCACTCAAATTTCAAGGTACAATTTATAAATGATTAGATCATGATTAAATTACAATGGTTTATATGTTATTCTTCTTATTTAAGAACCGGTGCGTCGATGATGTCGTTTTCTCAAGGATTGTTTAATCGCAAGGGTCCTTTAGACACTTGTAAAAGTCAACCCATATATTATTGGAATTTACCACTGGTATATTTTAATGCGCCATTTATAAAGATTTTTTTTATTCAAATCCATTAACAATTATTACACATTGTATAATTCTTGTATAGAAACAAGATGATATATTACTTATGTATGACGCCTGTCGACGTTGGAACGAGACCGTTCTTGCAAGTAATAAATTACTTGAACAACGCTATGCTTACGGTAACACGACACTAACCCAAATTTCCAAGTCACTTTCCGAAAGATATCATATAAGTCCACCACTTGATCCACATCTAGTACCATATATTTTTCTTAATTGCCAATTTTGGCTCACGGTTTTTAATCGAACCGATGCATGGTGTTCACTATTAAGTCCTAAAGAACTTTTACTAATACGATATCATAATGATATAATCTTTTATTATCAATATTCTTACGGTCATCCTCTTAATACACGACTGGGCTGTAGATATTTCACTCAGCTTGTGAATGGAGTTGAAGATTATTTAAATGGTAATTCTAGTATGATTGCTGATCTAAAAAATGCTCATAGTTTTACAATGTATGTTATACTTACTACATTGGTTTGTAAAAAATTTCATTTATTTTTATTCTTTTTATAATTTATTTTTTTATGATTTTATGTGATATTTATTTATTTATTTGATATTTACTAATTACAGGGAGTATTTAAAAACAAGTACCCAGTCTCGGCAGATCTAACTTACGAGCAAATTAAAGAACTCGAGTATACACAAGATAGGACTTTATACTGGTCTTCTACACTTTATTTCGAAATTTATAAGTGTTCCGATCGCGTATTGATACGAGCGTTGCTCAATTTTAAACCATTATTGATTCCGGGCTGCGAAAATGAATATTGCGAATGGAACAAATTTAAAGAGACTCTTGGTGATAAGATTGGATGCGATTTTGAAAAGATGTGCGCTTATCCTTGATGATTTTATTTTGAAATATTATTTATTGTTTCTATATTTCACTTTATTCCCGAAATATTTGACATTAATCAAATAAGAATTTCAAAAGTTTATGTAAAAGATTATTTTCTAATTAAAAAAATGAGAATTTTCATGTCGTTTATAAATTATAACATGAAATAAACACAAATTTAATAATTAAGTGCTATACAAAAGCTAAAATATCTGATATACTGTACTTTTAATATTAAATGATTACTTATTTGTCATAATTGATTCGATCGATTCGATCTGCGTAATCCGCAACCTTAAATATCGTCATTCAGTTATAAAAATTTTCGGATTATATTTTCACTTTATAAAGAAAAAAATGATTGTCATATTGTTGCGCTCAGTTCTTAAACAAAAAAAATGGCAACAGAAGGTATTACCAGAAAATCGGCGATCTAAGTTTGTCCGAAAAAAAAAATATTCAAATTTGGGGTAAGGCATTATTCCTAGAGGACTAGGCGACATTTGGCTAGAAGGTTTTTGGACCACGCCAGAAGACAGAGACGGAAGGCAAATTGGCCAAATTGATCTACAAAGTCTAATTAAATACGCCGCATACCATAAAAGATTTCTAAATTTGAAATATCGTCGTAACAAATCTCTACCAATTAAGAACCATTCATTCAAAAAATAGCATGAGAAACATTAGTTTAAAATTTTGATCGGATCATATGATAATAGCGATCCTAAGAACCTAAGATCAAACTATATATGAATAGTAGAATTCTAAATGCAATAAATAACTAATGGATCTCAACAAACCTAGTCGCTTAAAGAATTTTCTTGTAAAAATTATTCTAGTAAGTATTACCCCGGAAATTATCAGTCTATCTTTTATTACTATTTGGTACGGACTATTGTTTTTCGTCAGATTCTTTGACGAGTTAAAAAAAGTCTTATAATCAATTTATGTTGATAAATTATAGCTATTATTTATTCAATAAATTCATTTTGAATCAGATAATTAAATTCTTTCCAACAAATATGCTGTTGATGTGTTGATGTAATTATTTATGAACTAATCGTCCGGAATTTGCGGACAAATTTTGGTTTAAAATAATATTACAATATCTAAATAATTAATATTTATCTAATAAAAAAACCCACTTTATAAAACATGCAGTTACAGTTTTGCCTCAAAAAAAAATAAAAAAAAAAAATAATTAATTAATTATAACGATGAAATTGTAGAGCACTTTGTGCAATATTTTGGATTCATATTAAAATTTATTTCTTTTATTTGTATTTAAATTAAATATTTGAGCAGCCAGATATATTTTCGCAAAATATGATAAAACAAAAAAAAATTCAATTTCAACCATCCAAAAAGTTTCTTAATAAGAATATTTAAAATACATAGTTCCATAAACAAACTCACAAAGAAAGTATTAATAATTTTCGCTTTAATTACAATAAATATTTTTAAAATCAAAGTCTATACTTAAATGGTTGTAGTGATTGGAACCCGTCAAAAATTTTAAGTGATCTTTAATATAGTAGAAAATTTTTATCTAATAAAATATCCGAATCTTATAATATGGGAGTATTGATTTGGAGGATATTATAGGTGGTAATATATAATAAAATTATATTATAAATATAGTAAAGAATATTATAAAAATAATTTGAAGAAATTTTGATAAGTATTTATAATATTAATAAAAATTTTAAGTTTAAATTAAATTTTTTATTAAAAAATTATAAAAATTAAGTTTTATTTATAAATAGTATAATCAAAATCATTAATATTAAACATTAAATATATATAGATATATATTTTGAATTATAACTTAAAGTTATTTTATATATTTAAATTATATAAATTACAAAAATCTTAATTTAGCTTAATTAAAGTAGAATAAATTAACTTATATCAATCTTTTAATTTAGAAAATCTATTTTAAATTAAATATTTAATATTTTATTATTTATTAATTATAATCAATAATCTTTAGCTTATTTAATTAAGAGAAATTGAAATTTATATTAAATAAATATAAATTATTTAATTAGTATAGAAATATACTTTAAATATTATTATATTAAAAATTTATTGTTATATAAAATAATTAAAATTAAAAATTAGATAATCAAAAAAAAATTATATTATATAGTATAAGTCATCTGATCTATAATATTTCTCCTTTTTATTTAGTTTCAATATCCAAAAATATCAAATCTATATGGAAGATAAATTATTAAAAATTATCTTAAAATAAGAAATTGATTTTTAAATAGATGATAATAATAAAATGTTATGCTAAGTAAATATTTTTAATTAATAATAAATTAATCTAATTTTAATTATTGAGTCAAATTAATTAGTAAGATGACTAAAATTTATTATTTAAAATTTTATTATTAAATTATTATTTTATAATATTTAAAAATTTTTATAATTATAAAATACTATATATAAAATTATCCTATAAAATATTATTACACTAATTTTTGTAATACTTGAAATCAATTTTATAATACTTTAAATTTGCTATTAAAATCACTTTACAGAATATTGTTATACTAATTTATTTATTATAAAAATCATTACAAATGATTTTTAATGAAAAATCTAAATTTAGCAAATTTAAAATAAAATTAATTTTTAAAACATTATTTTAATTATTTTATTTTTTTTTTTAAAAAAAAAACTGTATTTTCTAATATAAACATTTACTGAAAGGTATAATACCCCTAGGCCTCTAATAAAATATCCATTCAAACTATTAATAATGGTTTTACATTAAATATTTAATTAAAGTTAAAAAAAATTGAAATTTTAAAAGAATCCGAATAATAATGTCGATCATTTACTAATTTTGCGTTGATCATTCTAAAATCTAATTTTAGATTTTGTTGACTAATGTTACACAAAGAAACGAGAAATTTTGACGGCCTAATTTGCGTTGTCAATAATATTTTCTCCAAATAAAGTTCATATATCATATGATAAAAAGAATTAAATATCTCGTTTTTGGGTGTCTCCGTAACCTGATTTTAATGGTCTAATGTCCAATAAAATATATCTGACTTCGTTAACCGGTTTTAAGACGCCAAAGCTAATACCCATACTATAATACTATCACATTTCTTTTTTCAAACAAAAAATAATTTGTTAAAAATTTTCTTTATTCGGTTAATTTATAATATTGACAATTGACATTATGTATTAATATAAAAGGTTTAATTTCACG